TCAAGGAGCTCAGAGGATTGCAAGGGCGATTAGCTTATATTCGTCGGTTCATCTCGAACCTCTCAGGAAAATGCCAACCATTCTCCAAGCTCACAAAGAAGGGCGTGTCATTTGTATGGGACGACGCTTGCCAGAAGGCATTCGAGAGTATTAAAGAATATCTCTCAAAACCTCCCGTACTCGTCGCACCGAAATCGGGCAAACCGTTCTTGATTTATGTCAAGGCGACGAGCCACTCATTAAGTACATTACTTGCGCAAGATGACGATAACGGTCATGAGCAAGCAGTATATTATTTGAGCCGAACCATGATAGGCGCCGAATCTCGATATCCTATGATTAAGAGAGAATGCCTCGCCTTGGTGTTCGCTATTCAGAAGATGCGGCATTATCTGGTTGGACAGACCATTTATGTCATCTCTAAAGTTAACCCAGTCCGAGTATTCATGACTCAACCAGCTTTCATGAGCTGGCGGTTAGCAAAATGGGCCCTACTCTTATCCCAATATGACTTACATTTTAAACAACAGAAGTCAGTAAAAGGACAGGCCATTTGTGATCTCCTGGCAGCTAATCCAACTACGGACACCGCCGAGATATATGACGACCTACCTGATGAAACCCACGAAGTTAACACAACTTCACACCAGCAAGTATGGCGTTTATACTTCGACGGCGCTTCACGAGCAACTAATGTAGCAAGTGTTCCCGGAAGTTCTAAGATTTCTTTCGGGGTTGGAGTTGTCTTAGTTTCCCCAGGAAAGCACGTGATGCCTCGAGCTTACTCGTTGACCGAACCGTGCTCAAATAACAAAGCCGAATATAATGCATTACTCATAGGACTCAGTTTCGCTAAAGAACTGGGGGTTGAGTACCTCGAAGCCTTCGGCGATTCTCAACTGATAGTTAAACAAGTTCAGGGAGAGTACGAGGTCCGAAGCCAAGATTTAATACCATACCATAAGATGGCAGTGGAGATGGCGGAGTCATTCGAAGGATTCTTTATCGAATATATTCCACGGCTACAGAATACTTATGCAGACGCGTTAGCAGCATTAGCCGTATCACTGGCGCAGCCTCCTGAAACAGAACAGTTTGTTACAGTGAGGACTCACCAACTTTTAGTGCCGATCTACAATGAAGATAGCGAAGAAGAAGAGATTAAGGAAACACACTCAACCCAAATTGAGTTTGAACCCCGAGATTGGCGTTTCCCCATCATCGATTACGTCTTACATGGAATCCTACCAGAAGACATGAAAGAAAGAGAGTCAATCCGACGAAGAGCACCAAGATTCTACTATAACACGGAGAATCGAACGTTATACCGTAGGGGGTACGATGGTTTGCTATTGCGTTGCTTATCGACTAAAGAAACTGAAGAAGTCCTTAGGGAGGCACATGAAGGAGAGTGTGGCGCACACCAACCTGGCCCCAAGCTTTATGACCGCATCAGAAGGATGAGATATTTTTGGCCTTCCATGATGAGTGATGCAATCGCGTATGCCCGAAAGTGTGACGCATGTCAAATATATGTGAATTATATGCACCAACCTCCAGAGCATCTGCATCCTTCGGTTACGTCATGGCCGTTTGAGACCTGGGGAATGGACATTGTTGGTCCTATAAATCCCCCGTCAGTCAAAGGTGACCGGTTCATCCTAGCGATTACCGATTACTTCTCCAAATGGGCTGAGGCAGTTCCACTCAGGGAAGTTAAAACAAGCAATGTCATTGCATTCATCAAGCACCATATCATCTACCGGCATGGTGTACCAAGACGAATCGTACATGACAACGGTCCTCAATTCGTCAGCAACGCCTTCATCAGGTTTTGCGAAAAGTTTAAAATTCAGGACATCTCTTCGACAGCTTACAATCCCACAGCGAATGGACTGGCCGAAGCCTTCAATAAGACTATCATAAAGATTTTATCAAAACTCGTGAAAACTAATAAACGAGACTGGGATGACAAGCTTGGCGCGGCTCTATGGGCCTATCGGACCACGGTGCGTACACCAACGGGAGCAACCCCGTATTCATTGGTATACGGATGTGAAGTTGTTCTTCCATTGGAGATTCAAATCCCGTCGCTTCGAATTGCCCTCGCGACTCAAATGACGACCGAAGAGCAACATCAGAAACGCCTTGAAGAACTTGAAAGGATAGATGAGAAGCATTTAGAAGCTCCTCGAGCCTTCGACAAAAAGGTTCGACAAAGGAGTTTCAAAGAAGGGGATTTGGTTCTAGCTGAAAGGCGGCCTATGATCCTTAACTCCAAGAAGAAGGGTAAATTTGAACCCAAATGGGAGGGACCATTCGTAGTAGAGACAGTCTACTCGAGTGGCGCATATCGCCTTGTCACCAAGGACGGTGACCGGCTTATGATGCCGATAAACGGCAAATTCCTGAAAAAATACTATCCTTAGTATCTTCAGGATAACCAATGTATCGGGAAGTTCTCGGAAGGATACCACATGGGGTATTCTTAGGGATAACCCAGTCACTGTAAGAAGCGATGAATAAGAAATCCACGTTCGAACTCTGAATGTCGGAATGTTTCTTCTTATTGTCAAAATTCTCTAACTCTCATGAGTTATTTTTGTGAGACAAGATTCAATCCTTGGATAGATTAATCTTTCCTCACCAAACCATCTGCTGATCAAACTAATCGACGGTGGATCCACCAACATTTCCATCTGCCAGTCATTGGCATTTCTCAGACTCGACATGTTAGGTCCTAATCACCTAGCGTTAAAGTCTTCCTTTGAGTGATAATACGAGTTGGCACTTTCTTTGCTACCTGTATTCCACTTTCTTTGCTTTCAGGTCAAACCTATAAAAGTTAGGGCCAAAGCCAAATTCCTCTCTCGATTCCTTCCATGAACGAGAGGTCCACTTTCAATTCGAACAGTCAAACCTATAAAAGTTAGGATTGTTCCCGATCTCACTTAGTCAAACCTACAAATAGTTAGGACTAAGACCGAGTCATTCCTTTTCGATAAACGAAAATCCACCTTTGTTCCTTTTTCCACCGAACCTATAAAAGTTAGGGTCGAAATTGGGCTTTCCCCTTAATAAATGAGGGATTCTTTTGATTCAAATGACCAATCCTATAAAAGTTAGGGTCGTTCGAACCTTTCTGATTCTCGGAGTGGAGATCTCACTCTTAGTTTCATCTTTTCGGATTCTGGGGGTGGAGATCCCACCTTGAGTTTCCTTTCCGACTGTAGATAGAATATAAAATTCTTCCTCTTCAGTCCCGGGAGATAGAATATAAAATTCTTCCTCTCCCGTTTCCCAATACGTCTTCATTCTGATAAAGGACACAATTTTTGATTTCCAATCCGGGCACTCTGTGCACGGGGAATTTTATCTCAACTCCTAAATAGAGATAAGTCTACGCCTAACACGCGTCGCCGGTTTAGTCTTTCACCGATTGAAAAAGACACCAAGGTCCACACCTGGGGAATTTTATCCCGAAGCCTAAGTAGGGATGAGTCAACACCTAACACGTGTTGCCGGGTTAGTCTTTCACCAATTGAAGAAGACACCAGAATTCCAGTCTGGGGAATTTCATCCCGAAGCCTAAGAAGGGATGAGTCAGCGCCTAACACGCGTTGCAGGTTTAGTCTTTTCACCGACTGAAGAAGACACCAGAATTCCAGTCTGGGGAATTTCATCCCGAAGCCTAAGAAGGGATGAGTCAACGCCTAACACGCGTTGCCGGTTTAGTCTTTCACCGATTGAAGAAGACACCAGAATCCGAGTCTGGGGACTTTTATCCTGAATCCTAAGTAAGGATAAGTCAGCGCCTAACACGCGTTGCCGGGTAGTCTATTCCCGTGAGAAAGACGAAGCCTATGTATTCAAAATCATAGCACAAAGCCTCAGAGAATTTACCCTCTCAGCACAACGTTACATGTGAGACGGGTTTAATAATTCACATGCTAGTCCGATTTCAAACGGTAATCGGTAAAGACATATCAAACCCGTTGATGGCTGGGGGTTTGCCAAAAATCCTGTAAATCTTATCATAGCTGAGTTCAAAATAAATAAAGAAATACCATAAAGGAATCAAATGCGGAGTCTCTATTAATAGATCAAGTCAAAGCATACAATAAAAAGCTCGTTAGCCCGAAGGCAGCTGACGGCTAAGAACATGAGACTCTAAACTAGAAAGCCTATCTATATAACTCTGCTCAAGTTCTGCCTGCAGACCAGCTCGGACGGATTCTTCAGAACTGCTCAAGATCTTCACGGCTTCATTCTTCAGCTTCATCAGTCTCTCCTGTGTAGATCCTAGCTTCTCGAGGGCCTGTCCACGAGAATGCTCTACTCCAGCCAGGTCTTCTGCAATGATAGTAATGGACTCCTCGGCGTGCTTCAAGGCCTCCTTCAACCTAGCCACTTCCTCACGGTCGGAATCCAAAGAGCGGAGTAGCTCGGCCCTATCTGTGTCCCTCCTCGCCACGGTAGCCATCAGCTGCGCAACTGAACGCTCATGTGACTGAAGCTCACTGCCGATGGAAGATCTCAGGTCGCGCCACTGTGCCAGCCTATGCTCCATCTGAGAGGACACGAAGGAAGAAACCCCATTAGCCTTCAGCTCCTTCAACTCTCGGATCTCCGACTCCAGAACAGCAAAATCGGCGGTGAAGGAATCAGCCAACTCTGGATACCCTTCTTCTCTGAACATCGGCATGTGACGAGAAAAGGAACGCCTGAACTGATCGAAACCATATCCTCGATGAAGAAGTTTCTCGATCATGCCGTTATAAAAGACGGTAAAAAGGCCGAGGTCTGTACGGAAAAATGTCTTTGTCGGGATCGGTATCAGCCAAGAGGGCGCGGACACGCTCATATAAAGATGATCGAGATCCTACAAGAAACAGTATGGAAAGCTAAGAGATTATCGAATACGATAAGAAATTTTAAAGGCAAATTCCGAGCATACCAATGCCAACGGAGGTCCCCTCAGGCTGAGATCCGACAGGTTCCGAAATAACTGCAGGAGTAGTCATGGAGGGTATATCAACCCCTGTAGGCAAATCAGTCATACCTCTCGGATGTGGCGGGGAAACACCTCTCTCAGGCAAACTATCAGTCCCAGAAACTGTAGTGGCATCAGGCACAACGGCTGGTCCTATAGTTGCAAATTTAGACAAATAAGGAGGGTCGGGATGATAAGGTCATCTGCATACCTGTAGGTCCATCATCCTCAGGTATCCGGGGGATGCCAGGAGTCATAAGAGTATCAGTCCCGGTGGCTGGTCCTATGATTGCACCCATATATTAGTCAAAAGTCAGATAAATAAAAAGGAGCACGATTCCCTAAATCGTATGTGTACCTGCAAGTCCGTCACTCTGAGGTAAGCTAGATATGCCGGGAATCGATATTGGGTCAGTCCTAATGACTGGCGCTGTAATATTAATCCTTCGTTAGTCAGACAAAAGACCGGGCAAAATGAAGAGAATCAGACATATACCTGTGAATGTATCACCCTCAAAGGGTGGTCCCACGGTTCTTCTGGTGGCCTGCTCAGCCAACATATCGGCTAATAATCCAGCGTCGGGTCCCGAGGAACCTGGTACAGAGGCACACCTCTGTTCCTCGAAGCCCACATCATGAAAGATCTGATCCTCAGCTGGCTTTTCTATCACGACATCTGCGGAATAGTTTAAGTGTTGGATATATATACAAGAAGATGGGGAAGAAGGAAAAGCTCAGAAATACCTGCAGCAGGAACAGAATATCCTTGTTCCCCAATATCCATACTTGAGTTAGTCAGGAAATCTGAAAGAATGCGAGGCGCAAGAATAATGAATCCTGATTTCTCTAACTCCGCCAAATGCTACTCGATGAGGGTATCATCGAATTTAGATATACCTGGACATGGAGTAGTGGGCTTAGCACTATTAGCCTGCTCGGTGTCAATGTTCATATCAATACCGAGGGAACCATCCCGAATGGCGTCGCACATTTGCTGCACGAAGTTATCCGTATTATCAGAATCAGTGAATACGGGGTCCGGTGGAAGCTCGCCCTCGTCATAGTACCCTGGAACATAAAACATGATTACGAATCCCAGAAAGTGAGACATCCTAAAGCAATAAAAATGACGAAATGTTACCTTCCTCACCATCAGCGATGTCTCCTAAATCCACTCCATATGGACGCTGGCCGACGTGTGGTTTATGAACAGTCTTCTTCTTCTTCGGAGTACCAGCCCTCATAAAACCAACGGGTCGCTCATGCATGAACTTGCCACGTGTCTCAACATGCGTGGGAGCTTGGCCGCTAGGCCCGAATCTCGCACAACGAGAAGCAAGCGACTCATGATCGTCGACTGTCCTACCTGAAGTGATAAGGGTCATTCATTAAGTGAACAAGATCTTTCGTGGATACCAATTAAAATTGAGAAAGAAGATCAAAGAGCATGACAAACCTGCATCAGGTTCTTCTCTGTCAGTATCTGTATCCACATACTCCTCCGCAGAAGTCTCATCATCATCATCAGTAGGAAGGAGCTCTTCATCATCTTTGTTCAAGAAAGAAGGTTTGGCATGCCTCTTCCTCTGTTTCCGAGCAAGCTCGGCTTTACGAGCAGCCATCATAGCGATCTGGACCGAGCGCTCCGACTGTAACTCTGAAAGACTCCTCACATCTAGGGATTCATTGGCGGAAAGGAACCACTTGCAACTGAGGAAAGTAATCATCGGCTGGCGTCTATATGAAGGAACTGAGGAAAGTAATCATCGGCTGGCGTCTATATGAAGGAAGAGCAAAGTGGGCTCCGGTGCAGCCCAACATAGTCCATAACCATGCTCGTACACCGTCAATAAGCCCTCTCTCAACCTTCAAACCACGGCTCGGATTCCCAACATATAGTTGGTCATAGCCGAACTGACGAGCAAAACGGCAGGGGAAGGTAAGGCTCAATATGGCAGCGGTTCTTCACCCGAAGAACAAGATACCTGACGCGGATGTTCACCAACCAGTGGAAACAACCTACGTCGAGAGCAGTCCGATTAGTTCTAGGCTTCTCCTCATCAATCAGCACATCACCATAGCGACCCGAAAAGTGAGGAAAACACTTGAAGAACTCCCAGCTCTTACGAACTTAAAGCTCTCGTTGTGCATCGCTAAATTTCTTCCCGAGCCATCTACTCCTCTCTAACAGCTGCACGAAAGGAACGGGGACATCGACAACGCTGGGCGCCGACATCAAGTCAGGACAGTGAAGAACAAGCCACGCCATCAGATACGCATAATGAAGCTCGACCTTCGGACAAATAAGCTCGGTCGACGGTTCAGAACCCACCTGTGTAAAACTACTGACCAGATACCTAAGCCCACAATGAATATCAGCGACCATGGCTGGGAGCAAGGAAAGCTCCCTCCCATAAGCTAGCTGGACTGCAGGGAAGAGCACCTCGAGAGGTAAGGCGTCCGACTGCTGATACAGAACGACGCACTTCTTCAACCAGAGAGCGAGATAGCCTGCTAGTAGAGTCCGGGGCTCAATGGACTTCTGTGCACGGCGAAGGAACGAACGAAACTTGGTCCCTGCAGGAAAAGCCCCCTCAGCACTGGCAATGGTGTAAGAACGAGCCTCAACCTTCTCCATCAACTCATTAATGGCGGTAGGGGTCAAGACGTCTAACTCACGAAGGGGCTCACTGGAATCACCCTCCAAATTCGGGAACAAATAGACGGCAAACTGCTTCAAGCTGACCTGCTTTTTCCTCTTCGCTGGAGGGGAAGTCTTGATCAAGGAGGTATGATAATGACAGGTGAGGTCCCAAAGAGTATCGTACATATCGGGAGTATCCTTCTTCAACCACTCCAACTGCTGGTTCGAGGGAAAGTACTCCTGGTATGGATAATCCCCCATCGGAAGACCAGAAACCTGATGCATCTCGTGTAAGGCCAACCCCAACTCTCCGCCGCTGGTCAGGAACGTGTTACTGTCGGGCATGTATGTCTCCAACAACGCAAAGAAATGGTAGCAACTGACCTGGAGTCCATACATGGTGGCTCGTATAGGTGCATACAATCCACTGCTCTTCAAATCCTTCTCCTAATCTGGTGGAGGTAATCTCCTCCCAAGATGAGCCAGACGGTTCTTCACGGTAGGAGCAGCTGCTGATACCTCGCCCGGGGGTACAGTATTAAGACCCGTAATCACTGGCCGAAGACCGCGGATGTAATGATACCCGGCAGAACCAGGAGTCTTATGATGAGAAGTATATCCACACTGAACCCGCTCAGCATCATGGGTAAGATGCCAAGACATCTGTCGCTCCACAGCCTGTCCCTCCAAATGAGTGAAAGAATACTGACGAGGAATGGAGAGAATGTATAGGAGAGCCCCCTCGTGAAGATTCAGCCAATGCTCTTCGGTAAGAGTCAACGTAGCAGGATCCTCAGCGTGATCTCTGAACAGAAAACTGGGCTTCTTTAAAGCCTGAGTAGAAGTAGAATCTGCAGTGAAGGAAGCATCCGTAATCAGCTGACGTAAGCAATGACGCCCTCCATCCCGTATCAAACGACAGGATTCGTCAGAGCGGTCTCTGTCGAACTGAGGGAGTGGACCAATGGCCTGCCTGATGGAAGCCGAAGAGAAGACTTCCCTGCTACAACCAGTAGGGGCATGATGTGGGAGGCTGCCCGAGGGGAACTCGACTGCAACAAAACACAAGAATGGAGTCAGAAAATCCATCTGATAAAGAAGAGAGATAAGATTATTCACGAGATAATTGGAGAGACGATTTTGAGTGTCCTACACTGGAAGAACAGTATACATCACCACGTAGATAACGTGGTAACATACACCGACCTACTAGGTGTAGGACGACACAAAATCACCCCAATATACCAGAAGACTTGAATTGGCTAAGCAAAACAAGTCCGAAACCTTAACCTCCGCGAAAGAGGGTGTCGGTTCTTCCTTAATGACCCGCGAATGGATCAATCAGGGATACAGAAATAAAGATTCTCACCCCCGAAAAAGGAAGCCGCTGGAGGGGAGGATGCTGCGGGAACTTCTTCCTCGCTAGGTTGCGAACGGGACCGACTCGTAGGAGGTCGAGATCGACGTGGAGGCATCGAAAACCTGCGATGAAAAGCAGCAAGTTAGATACAATCTAAAATATGAATACACGAAATATAAAAGGGAAATTAAGAACTTGAGCTAAAGTCCTATGAATAAATAGGATTTTATAGTTGAAGTCTAATTAAACCTACAAATTTCGTGCATGCTAGACAATGATTGCCATTTTGTGGTGAATTTTGGTGAAATACCCAAAATACCCCTCGTGTTCAAGGCTAAATTTAGGTCAAGGACACGCTTGAGTTGGGTCATGGTCATCATATCTGATCATATAGCACCCCTAATACCTCACAATTTTGGTTAATTTTACAAATAAACCCTTTTTGCAAAATTTAGCCAATCTTGCAAATAGACCCCTCCACAAATTTCGGTTTAGTTTCCACACACCTTTCTCAAAACTTTGGTCATAGGTTTGTGATCTAAACTTTTGGAATTTCAGTCCTAAAATTTCAGCCCTTTTTGCAAATAAACCCTCTATACTTTGTGGGATTGCTCTTTTGCAAATAAACCCCTCAACAACTTTTGGTCCTTTTGCATAAAGTACCCCTCAAACTTTCGACCAAATGATCATGTAATCTAGATCCTAATTGCAGTCCTTTATTACATGAACACCACTTCAATTCTCCGGCCAATTTTGCAAATAAGCCCCCAAAAGAATTTCGACCCATATTTGCACATAAAACCCTCAATAATTTGTGGTCTTTTTGCATGAAACACCCCTCAAAGTTGTGGCCAAGTGGGTCTAAAGTCCAAGCCTCAAAATTTTAGTCCCATTTTGCATAAAGGCCCCTACAAATTTCAGTCCACTTTTGCATAAAAGTCCCCCAAAATTGGGCCATATTGCATGTTTTGCATAAAACCCCCAAATTTCGGTTCATACTCACAACCCATCATCATGAGAATAAAAAGTTATGATCTTGGTATGTGAATTCATGTTGTATCCCCATTACAAGCATAAAGTTACAATCTTTCTTGAAAAAGAAAAGAGTTGTGAAGGGGAACTTACCAAATCAAGAGGCTTTTCTTGAGCTTGAAGATGATGAAACCCTAGCTTGGAGGAGAGGGTATTTTCGGCCAAGAGAGGAGCATACAAAATCCGAAATTTTGTGGGTTTGGAGTTCTTGAAGGAGAGGAACAATGGTGTATGGAGGGAATGAGGAAGAAGGAGTTTAAAAAAGGAAAAGACTCTCTTTTGAAAATATGGAAAGAGGGGGGAAAACAAAAGAGGCAATGACAAAAAGGGAAGTTCAAAAGGAAGAAACAACAAAAGGAAAAAGGGGGGGGGATGTTCGGTTTTGGCCAAGACACCCCAAGGGGTGTCTCGGCAAAACCGAGACACCCCAAGGGTGTCTTGGTTTTGTTGGGACACCCCTTGGGTGTCTTAACCCTATTCGAGCCTCCGGAACCCTTTTTGAATCCGAATTCACTTATTTTTCGTCGGTTGTTGGATATTTTGATGAAGTCCACACTAAACATTCGACGTTCGAAACCCTAAGGTCAACGCCGGTCAACGCGTAACCCTAGGTCAACGCCAGTCAACGCGTTGCGACCAAAAAGTTAACATTCAACGTTCGAAACCCTAGGGTCAACGCCGGTCAACGCGTAACCCTAGGTCAACGGCAGTCAACGTGTTGCGACCAAAAAGTCAACGCCGGTCAACGCGTAACCCTAGGTCAACGCCGGTCAACGCGTAACCCTAGGTCAACGCCAGTCAACGCGTTGCGACAAAAAAGTCAACATTCAACGTTCGAAACCCTAGGGTCAACGCCGGTCAACGCGTAACCCTAGGTCAACGCCAGTCAACGCGTTGCGACCAAAAAGTCAACGGTCGACGTTTGAAACCCTAGGGTCAACGCCGGTCAACGCGTAACCCTAGGTCAACGCCAGTCAACGTGTTGCGACTAAAAAGTCAAAGTTCGACGCTCGAAACCCTAAGGTCAACGCCAGTCAATGCGTAACCCTAGGTCAACGCCAGTCAACGCGTTGCGACAAAAAGTCAACATTCAACGTTCGAAACCCTAGGGTCAACGCCGGTCAACGCGTAACCCTAGGTCAACGTCAGTCAACGCGTTGCGACAAAAAGTCAACATGCGGTGATCTAAAACCCTAAGTCAACGCAACGTGACGGAGGTAGTTCAAAGTCAACTCAATGACACGAGCAAAACTCAACTCACTGGTGGTAGACTCGAAACTCCGACAATGGCCAGACGATAAACGCAGCGCCGGAAGGACTTCGGCTATTCGTCAAAGCATTGAATAGACCAAAAATCGAAGGAGCCAAGAGTTAAAGCTAACTACAGGTCCTTTACGCCGACTAAAGGCTGGACCAATCACATCCAAAGTATTCCAGCCTCTTCTATAAAAGAAACAAGTCTGGAACGCTTTGGAGGGGGTATCTGTAGGCATTGAAAATTGCCTATAGGTCTCCGCGAACAGCTCAGTGTTAAGAAACGACAATGAATGTTACTATCTGGTTCACAGGAGTTCGATTGACGTCGGTGAATGATTGAAGTGAACCGACGAACTACGTGAGCTGACGGAATTTCGGGATAACGAAGGCACGGGCTAATCGAGAGCCCCACGATGTTACAAAAAGAACAACGCCCTTCGTGTCTCGTTCATTCTACAGATAATCCAACCATTGGAGCTGATAGAACTCTTCGTCAGACTTCCAACGCACTTTGAATCACTAAAATCCGAGTTCGGACGAAGAATTTACAGCGGAAGCGGACGAATGCACCTCAACGGAGCGTCTCGGTCAATGCGAGACACCCCAAGGGTGTCTCGGATTTTCCAAGACACCCCAGGGGTGTCTCGGAATTTCCGAGACACCCCAGGGGTGTCTCGGAATTTCCGAGACACCCCAGGGGTGTCCCAACGCGGATTTGAGCCCTGTAATCCGTTTTAACCGCTCCGTTATCCCTCATGCCTATAAATACAAGCCTTAGGCCTCATTTTTTCAGATCTGGAATTTTGGAGAATAGGCGAAGCCCTGCCGGAGTGAAGAGTGATCGAGCACTTCAACGCAAGATAGTTTCTTCGTCAGATCTACATCACCCGTACCCGATCCTTAGTATTATCACGTTGTGTTAATACTAAGAAGAGCAAATATCTCGCTTTATCCGAGATAGGCGCTTCAAGTTTCTAGATCTCCTCGCGGATCGACGAAGCTCTGGATCAGATCTGATTGCCAGGTAGTCCACGAGTGCTGCAAACACATCATGTTTGAGTTGAAATTAAAACAAACATGAGCTGCGAAGGCTAACTAACACCGTATTAATTAGAACTAACACGCTACAGAATAGAACTAACACTGTGCAGAATAGAACTAACACGCTACATAATAGAACTAACGTTCTACAGAATAGAACTAACACTGTACAGACTAGAACTAACACTGTGCAGATTAGAACTAACACTGTGCAGAACAGAACTAACACTCTACAGAATAGAACTAACACTGTGCAGATTAGAACTAACACTCTACAGAATAGAACTAACACTCTAAAGAACGGAACTAACATGACTTATGGTAGGTCTAATTTGATGCTAACTAGAACTAACGTGACTCATGGTATAACTAGCATGGATTACACAAGATCTAACATGAATTTCAATCAAAACTAACGTGGTGAAATTAGGAATAGCATGTTCTTACAAGAAAGAACACCGATACCACTCCATATCCTTTGCCGTATGCCTCCTGGCTAATCGTGTCCAAAACTGCTTCTTCCACCTGTAATTGTTATGAAACATTAAAATTCAATTTAAACAATATAATTTGAATTATTAAGGAAGTATATGTTAACCTTGTCGTCAAGGCGGCCACCACGAAGCACATATAACAACTCTTCCCTGTTAATAGTGCTGTTGGTTGTTACTATAACATTATATCTCCTGGTATAAATTAGAACTAACATGAATTAGAACTAATATGTGGAGAATTAGCATATAAATAGTCAACTGAAACTTACTTGTGAATCTTCTGAGAACAAAATTTGGTTAGGCTCTCAATTTTAGCTTTGTCGAGTCTTTCTGCTACGGGAGATGGTATCTTTAAATTATGTACAAATGCACCTGTGCTATCTATTATGCGTAAGTTAAACAATGTAGGGTCTGGAAGCTCATTATTCAGCTCTCCCAATAGAGCTTCCTCTTCATCTATCATTGGCTTCAAACTCAACGCATCAAAAGTGGGGATTTGATTACCGGGGTAAAAATGAGTAACTTTTTCAGCTAGTTTTACTTTTGGTTCAGGACTTTCAAGTATATCTATACTAATTTTTTCCTTTTTCTTTCTTTTGCCTTCAGTATATGGTGTCCTCTTGAATTTAGATCCTTCAGTATATGGGGTCCTCTTCCATTTAGATCTCCTGCTTACCCTTCTTGGCTGTGGTCTACGCTCTGCTTCCACATTGGTCGCTAGAACTTCTACAAGTTTGTCCACATCATGTTTAATATTCACAAGATCCTCTTCCTCCTGTGCTTCCAACTTATCTACATTCTCCTTCTCTTTATCTACAATATCTTCCTCCTTATCTACACCATCAACAAGATCCTTATCAAAACCTTTGTTATCTACAATAAAATTTTTATTTTCCATATGCTCCTCTTCCTTATCTACCATATGCTCCTCTTCCTTATCTACAATATCTTCCATATGCTCCTCTTCCTTATCTACCATATGCTCCTCTTCCTTATCTACAATATCTTCCATATGCTCCTCTTCCTTATTTACACTATCCTCAACCTTAGTATCTACAGTCTGGTCAACCTTACTATATACCCCCTCCCCTGGAGAAGTAACAGGCTCCTCTTCTATTGCCTCATCGACAGCAGGATGCTTCACATCCTCTTCAACAATCGTATGTACATGTTCTTGCATGGTGGGTTCTTCCTTATATACACTGCTTATTTTGGACTTCTGTTCCTCTTGAGCTTCCCGTCGCTTCTTCCTAATTTCATTTGCAATTTTCTGTTTGATATTTGACTTAAGCAGCACCGGGTCTATAACCTCATCATGTCTTCCACATTTTTCAATTATCCTGTTAAGCCTGTTGATCTCAATCATGAATTCTTTATAATATTTGCTCTTAGTCTGCTTTGTAGCAACAAGAAGTCGCTTGAGAAATTTAGCAGAATTTCTCCAAAATGTGAGTTGCTGCTCAATGGGAAGAACATTGATCTCCTCTTTATCGTTAAAAGCAACATCAATATGCTTTGCCATGATCTGTTATTGATACAAGATTATAAAATTAAGTAGGATTAAACATAATTAGGATATTCTTTGCAGTTAGTGTGAAATGAGTATGCCTTAACATAACAGGATACTTACGTAACCTATTGAGAAGTTCTTAGTATTTTCTTCCTGGAAAGCCTTCCTCTTTGCCTGACGCTTTTGCTGAAGAACTTCACCCCTCTGTACAGCGGGACCTTCATCCCTCTGTTCAGCGGGAAGTGAATGAACATGACCAGGAGAAGCGACCTCCGCAATAGGCCTATGGACAAATGTTATTGACGCTGACTTAGCCTTTGAAATAATTGTCGGCATCCTCATAGATGCGATTTTCTCCTCCCCTGATGCCCAATTTGTCATTGGAGGTCTGGAGGTGTCTAAGAGGGCATATTTCTTTATGCCTGTCATCTCGTAGTACCAAAGCTGTACCAAATATATTTACCATTAACATTTAATACTAGACTAGACCAAAGAGAATAAAATATGGCTGCATCTAGAACTAACATGATGTAAATTAGTACGTGGTACGACATGAATTATGATAGAACTAACATGACCTATGATAGAACTTACATGGGTGCAGATAGAACTAACATAGTATATCTTAAAACTAACAAGGTGCAGATTAGAACTCACACGCTACAGACAGATTAGAACTAACACGCTGCAGAATAGAACTAACACTGTGCAGAATAGAACTAACACTCTACAGAATAGAACTAACACTGTACAGTTTAGAACTAACACTCTACAGAATAGAACTAACACTGTACAGATTAGAACTCACACGCTACAGACATATTAGAACTAACACGCTGCAGAATAGAACTAACACTGTGCAGTCTGTAGCGTGTGAGTTCTAATCTGCAGATTAGAACTAACACTCTACAGAACGGAACTAACACTGTGCAGATTAGAACTAACACGCTACAGAATAGAACTAACATAGAATAAGTTAGAACTAACAATGCATAGGTACGAATTAGAATGAAACAAGATCAGTAAAATATGGAACTTACACACAATAGTGTCATGCAACCTGGGACATATGCGACCCTTTGCTTCTTCTTTCCCTCCAAAGCAACTCCAATGCCCCTGATAATTTTATTATAAAAGAACAGGGCCCATGCAACAGAATTGACCATCTGAATGCTATCCAGGTACCTGAGTAAGGATCTAGGGATACCTTCCCCTGCTATGGGACTCCATATCATAGAGCATTGGTACAAAATTTGTAGCAGAACAAAATCCTCGATATCCCGTTTTTTTGTAGATTCAACTAGCCGTTCAAGTAGCCCTTCAAGATGTTTACGTTGGCTGGTTTCTGCTTTTTTTAACTTCTTACCCTCTTCAGAAATGAAAAGCTTAGCGAAATATTCCAGCCATATTCTGCTTCTTGAGTCCCTATTGTTCCTTATGTCCTCCTCATAAATTGGGAAATAAGTATGGTTATGGACCCATTGCAAATCAAAACTAACATTTTTCATACCCCCACTTTTTGAATCAGGTATACAAAAGGTGTTATTATCTCTGTCGAAAAAGCTCAACAGCAGCTCAAGGGTGGGCCGATCAGGCGCAGGAGCCCCAAATAAAATGTAGTGCTGAAATATAGAACCGCGGTATGCATACTTATGCCACTGACGGATCTTCGGGGCAATGCGCTTCATAAATCCCCAATAAGCCCCGATATTGGCCGTTAACCTTAGTGTTTCTGCTGAGCCTGTTAGAGAAATTTTTTCCCTGCAAAAAATTTTCGAATTTGTAAGTTCAATAAGACATATGAAACAATATTAGACCTAGCACTAACGGGAACAAAATAGAGCTAACACGTAATATTATAGAACTAACATTGGACTCAAACTAGAGCTAACATTGGACTTAAACTAGAACTAACGTTGGTCTCAAACTAGAACTAACATTGGACAAAGCCTAGAACTAACAATATTGGGTTAATCTGCATTGTCTCTTCGCGGTATAACATAACACTTATTGTTTTTTGAGGGGGGTTCGTTGGTACGACCAGCCATTGCCGTCCTCCTTTTCTGGTCTCGCCATTGTAATGCCTCCTTTTGCATTTCGATTAGGGTTTTCGTAGCTTCCGTAGCTTCCTTCGCACTGCCACCCGCAGATGAAGCGTCTTTTCCTTCCAACTCGGCTTGGTGCCCGACCTCGTAGTCGTTACTGGATTCTTCCGTAGACGATATTTTTCCGGCGAAAACCCTAGAAACGTTGAAATCCGTACAGAAATTAGGAAGATGAAGAGTTTTTGATGGCGGTGCTAGGTGGAAGAGAGAGAAAGAGAGGGAGAGTACTTGTAAAGGTGAGGGGCACATTAACCCAGCTCAGTCCCATCAGAGGGCAAGATCGTAACTTCCTCTGGGCTTTTTCTGAAAAAAGTCAATTCGGGGCCTCGTCGCAAATACTATGCGTATTTGGGGCTATTCCACATGGGGGAAAATACAGGGGGGCTAGTCACACGAAGTTCCCACTTTTGGGGTCTGGACACATTTTTCCCAAAAACTTATGCCAAATTCAAGAAACATAAAAAAATTAAAAAAAAAAACTTAATCCACATCTTTATCAAATGTATCACAAAATCACATATTTTCTTCTCACAACATTGGCTCCCTTCTCTACCTCCAAGCGCAAACTCTGACTAATGGTGTACCTCTCCACTCCAACACCATCTCATTCCCCCATTCTCCTCTCACCTTCACCCCATAATCCCCCCCTCGCACAATCTCCATCGCCTCCATCAAATTTTGCTTGCTAAACCTACACCCCTCCAAACTAGACCCAACACTAACAAGCTCATGTTCGCCTAAACAAGAAGAAACACATGGTCCTATAAATAAACACTCCATGCTCGTCCTTGCTAGAGAAAAACTAGATGGAAAATGCCACTCCATTGACTCTAACAATGCTTGAGAATGCAACAGATGCTCATTAGAGAACAACTCGTGGCCACAACGCCCGTTTCCGCATATCAACATCCCATTTGTTGTAGAGCTAGAAACCAAACTATTTCTAGCTCCCTCTATGAACTTCTCTACTTGGCTTCTTCTTCCCATATTCATATGTGGAAGCCCTACCATACAATTAAAAACCAACCACACTCCCTCGCTTGCTCCAATTCTCATTAACTCATCCAATCTCAAGTTGTCTACTATCAAATTCAACCCCATGCTTTGAGCAAAAGATGCTAGCCTCTCCCTCACCCTCTCAAATTTGTAGTCTTTTTCGGCATCATTAATGCACGTAAAACGAACTGATCGCCGCGGTCCAAGAGCGCAAATCAAAGGTGGCCATTGAATTCCATCTCCAATGTCAAAATCCACAATACGCACCTCTTCTATATCGCGTGGTATAGATTCGTAGATTGCATAGTTAGCTACAAAATGCGCGAATCTGCCATAAGGAGTTATCTCATACAAAGCGCGAAAAGCCATAGAATGGTTTTTCATGCATTCTTCTTTTAGACGTTGAGCCTGTGGGTCAGAACGTTGGACGGATAAATAGTGAGAGAGGCGCTCCATTGTGGTTCCTATAGGGCTAGCTTTGTCACGGAGCCGAGTCAATATCACTTGAGCAAGATCCATGTATCCTTTCTCTATAGACTCTCCGTAGGCCTTTAAGAGATGACGTATGCTCAATTCTTGATCAAATTCCATGTTTATCATGCTTGCATGTTCACAAGAATTAGTAGGAAAAACATCAAAGAAATCACAAGAGATATCTGTAGGAGAGAGCATGAAGCAACTAGAAGAGGCCCTCCATGTTCAAAGGAATGAATTGAACATCTATCTATATAAGAAGTAAGAGGAGAAAATTAAAGAGAATATAGCAAGAGAGAGAGAGAGAGAGAGAGAAGAAGAATGAGTTGAGAGTTAGATGACAAAAAGAAGGAAAATAGGTGCAAGGTGCTTATATCTAGTTTGAGATTTTTGTAGGTGGACAGGGGACAAGAATGAGGGAGGAAGTGGATGAGAATGAGGCAGGCTTGCCTCCTGCCTCCTATCAAGAGACCTTCATTTGATTAATTTGTTAGGCTAGCTGTGGATAAACCCCTTTACTATTGCCTAATGGCTTATAGAACCCTATAGTTCTACTGTTGCAGACAGACACCCAAGTGAAATCTTTTCGACCTTTTCACTCTCAGCTGGTTTATTTGTCAAATAGCAATATTCTTCTCTAATCCTCTAAGAATAAAAGAGTGAAAAGGAGTTACTTAGGGGCCTATCTGCAACAATAGAACTACAAGGGGTCCATTCTCAATTCGAACCTAACAGAGGGGTAATTATGCAAGTAACGCTTATTTGTTTATATGGTGAAGGAGACCTCATTGTTGACAGAGTTCAAGTAGTTTCGTCCTCTCTTCTCTGGCTCTTTTCCCTTACTTTCACAAACTTTCTCCTTTTGTGATAAAAATACGGATGAGTTGGCTCCTGGTGACAACTCCTAGAGGATTTTGACATGATTAACAATGTTATCTTCTCTTTGATATAAGCCAAACGCATTGCGTTTCCAAGAACCTTTTTTGTTCATGATGAAAAGATTTGGTTTGGATCATTTCAGTTGCATTTTAGCAGGGGAGATTCTTCAATTATTGTAAGCATCTGTTAATATTTATTTTAGCAGGCGAGATTCTTCAATTATTGTAAGCATTTCAGTTGCATTTCAATTGCATTTTAGCAGGGGAGATTCTTCAATTATTGTGAGCATCTGTTAATATTTATTTAAGACTTTATCAATGCTAATCACGTCTATTAAATAATGGTTATATAGAAGAGCCCCGGTCTGCTTTATTTCTTAATAATACACTAAATTCTTTAAGAGGGATCTATCGACAGTTTTGATGATTTTAGTGAAGAAATGGTGAGAAAGTACAGGAAAACAGCAAAAGAATCAGCGAGGCAGACTGGCGGTCAACCGCCGTGGTCGATCGCGAACGTGCACGAAGGCCAGTG